GGCCTACGCTGGGCATTCTCACCATCTCCTCTCTTGCTCAGACCTTCTCCATCTTGCAGGGTCTCCTCCCCTCTGATGCAGACCCAGAATGCTCTCCTTCCTCCACCTTCCTGGCCCCTCAAATCTTGGGGGTTTCCCTTCCCCCACATTGAGCAAAAGAAACTGAGGGATTCCTAACAAGAATGCTGCCTCCAGCTTCTAAAGTCCCATTTTCATTCTTGTTAACCCCTGTCCCTGCCCAGTTGCAAGCACTTGGTACCCATCCCAACACCCAAGAGCCTCAGGCTCTCCCACACTGTGGGACCTACCTGGACTTGACTCGTTCTACCCCTGGGCCCTGTTTGGGGGTTGACAAAATCTGGAGATGTTTTTGGTTATTACACCTGGCATGCCATGGGGAGAGAGCAGAGTGCCTTCTAAACATTCTATCATGTACAGAGAGGACAGCCCTCTCGCACAAAGGCTGAGATAACAGGACAAATCCTAGGCAAATATATTTTGGGGCATTGTCCTTTGCACAACACCCATAGATACATTAATTACCATCTCTTTTCCAGATCTTCCAAGCAGGTGCGGGATTTCTAGAGGGGTCAATGGAGTCCCAGAGGGAGAGCTAGCAGCCCAACTACAGGGCCATGTTGGGGTGCTTAAAGCACAGAACTAGTGCTGCGCCTGAGTCAGTTCACCCCAAAAATACAGCTCACCAGGGAAGAGGAAATGGGGGGCTGGATTTGTTTGGCTGGAAGAGAATTTATTCCTCTCTTCTGAGCTTTTAGTGCATGGTATAAATAGCCCTCGTAATCAAGATGCAGGGATCTCAATAACGGGGCAAGGGATCTTGTATGTTTCTAATCAAGCTGAGGAAAAGCCATTTCAGCCAAGAGTAAGCACTTAACGGCGAGAGCAGTAATTCAGGGGATCAATGGGAGGGCGCTTGCTGCTGTGAGAGACACTGAATTTATAAACACTGCCAAAGCACGCAAGCATTGAGAGGGACTCCCATGGAGCTGGCACCCACAGGAAAACATGGGGCGAAGATCTGGAATCACTCCTCAGCCGTGACTATGTCCTACCCACTAACGGTAGTGATCGGTAAGGTAAGTCGATGGCCTGCCTTGAAAACCTTGACAAATGTGGCAGATGCGTCTTGCTGGGGCTCTTTTAAGGGAGATCCTGAGAAAAGACAGGGCAATAGTTCCCATAACCCGCACGGGCTGCTCTTCACCAGAGGGTTTGGCGAGACTACCATGAGTTTAAAATAACAAAGTTAACACTGAAAACTCACTTTATTATGTTTTGATTTCACAGAAAATGTAGACTTGTAAATAACAATAGTTCTTTGTAACAACCTGCGTGACACTTTTATTAGCTTGTGCAAGTGGGAGGTTTGGTTAAACAGGAATCCATGTGAATATCAGTGGGAAATAAAAGCTAAAGCTGGAACTATGATTTAGAAAAATAATGATCACGTTGGGCTCTGTAAACCACCTGTCACCTTGCTGATCCCCAGAAAAATGTGAAGCACGTTCTCATGGATGAGTGAGAATTTTCTCCGCCTAGGTAAGGAGAAGGTCAAAGTGGGCACGCCTCCGCTGTCAGCTCACACCAGCAGCCTGCTTTTCAGAAAAGCAGCAGATACCTGACCAAAGGTATGCACCGGCTTTGGAACGGGCGAGGCTTATTTGTTGAGTACAGCTCTTGCTTTTAAGACAAGGAAACCCAAGTTCAAGTGCAGTAAATAGGCACAAAAGAATGGTTCTGGTCCATTGCATTCTCTTCGGAGCCTTTATTTGAGAGCAGGCGAGAAGGGGGATGAATGTTTCTCTGCTTAGTGGGACAACAGCAGGCTGCTCGAGCCGGCCTTTCGTAACCGCAGAGTAACAACAAGCAAGATCCTGGCCTGAGGATGCTGCAGCCCGGCAGAGCACACGCATGGTCACGCCGGCCTGGTGGATGGCCCTGCGCCGGCGTTCAGTCCACGGGAGGCGCCTTAGCCAATTAACATGGCTCAGGAAGGTCAGGGTGATACAGGACTTTCTGACTTGAAAATCTTCTATGAAAAAGACGTGCGGCCCCTGGCTTTTTTCAAGCTTGGTAATAATTCTAAGAAAAAGGAATAAAGCTGTGACAATTTCGAATCAGCTCTTGAAATTCACATTGGCCCACCTTGAACTGAACTGCTCAGCAGGCGTGGACAACGGAAGCCATGGCCAGGGGACCCTGAGCCTTGTGGGCCTCAGGAAAAGGTTCTGGTTGGCAAGGACAGGGCATCAATAATAATCAATGAAGTGGTAGGGATTGTCAATAAGAGCAGAAAAAGCTACTGCCCACCAAGCCAGCTAGGTACCTACCTGGCAACAGCTACCAGGCACCACCTCCCTCCCCTGCCCACCCTCCCAATCTGACCCACCACACTGCCTTGTCACCTGGCAGATCCTTCTTTTCAGATCTTTGCTTCCATCTGGGGACCCCTGAATAAGGGAGGGCACAGCATCAGTGATCTGGGTGTGTGGGGCAGGGAGGGCTTGCCTTTCCCATTTCCGTCCTGAGGCCTCTGTATCCGTGACACGTCAGGGCCCTCATTCCTATGGGACGCAGGGCAAGTGCTGGGTGTGGCCTCAGCACTGGGCTGTGTTGTGCTGGAGCCACTTGAGGGGATGAGTGGCCAGGGCAAGACAGGAACTCTTCTAGACGTGGTGAGTCCAGCATCCAGCCCAGGGTGCTGCATCAGAAAGCACCTGACAAAGGCTGTTCTCAGAACACAGGCAGACAGCAGTGGGCTCCACAAAGCACTGTAGGGAAGCAGACCTGTTGAGGAAACCCCTCCCATGCTGGTTCCCAGGCCCACGTGTAGGCAACACTGCTCTTGGTAGAAAACTTAAATGAACTACTCAAAGATCTCCCGTGGCAGGAGCTTTCTGGGATATTTTAGAAAGCTGATGGCATTATCTTGGGCCAAGCAACTTTCATTTATTTTAAGATTTCTAGGGGTTGGCATTGTAGTGTAACTGGTTAAGCTGCCCCGTGGCACCAACATCCCACATGGGCACTGGTTCTAATCTCGGCTGTTTCACTTCTGATCCAGCTCTCTGCGATGGCCTGGGGAAGCAGTGGAAGATGACCCAAGTGCTTGGGCCCCGGCACCCATGTGGAAGATTTGGATGAAGCTCCCGACCCTGGTCATTTGGGTCATTTTGGTAGTTTACCAGCGGATTGAAGAACTTTTTCTCTTTTTCTCTCTCTCCCCCCACTTCTCTCTCTGTAACTCTGCCCTTCAAATTAATTAAATCTTTGAAAAAAATTAAATAAAATTTCTATTAGGAGGGAGTTTGTAAGTGGATCTCACTTGAGTGGGCTTTCCCACTATTGTATTTTAGGTAATTCATGCCATGGATTTCCTCAAAAGCCTTAGACAATCAAGAGTCTGGGGTAGTTCAGAAACCTAGCATATGGATCCTCTACCAAACCCTAATAGTTCAGAAATCTGGCATTGCACCCTCTACCAAACCCTAAAGAAAATGAGTTTGAAATTATCTGCACCTATTTTTAATTTTTCCCCCCATATAACAGGAAGTTCCTCTTTTGGAAGTCAAGGCAGCTTTACTATGTCCCCCTCAGTGAGCACCACGGCCACTCTAAAAGTTGCCATCGTCCCCCTTACAGATAGGGCGATTTACAAGGTGTCCACATGGATAGGCTGTGCTCTGCCTCCCCACAGAATAGGATACACCTCCATTGAAACAGAAAGTCAGATGGAAATACCCCAGGAATAAGAAACCCCAAGCATCCCAGTGGAAGCTAAACTTTACATAGACTCTAAGGAGCTTGTTTTGAGAACAACCCATTTCATTGAATGGATTAGGGGCTTAACTCTCTCAAGTACTCAGCATGGGCCCATGTGCCTGGCACACACTTGCACAGACTCCTTTGCCTCTCTTGGTCTCAGTTTCCCCAAGCTGGAGCGGGGAGGGGGTGCCGAGATGTCCTCTAAGACTCATTTCTTAATGTACTTATGGATCTTCCGGGTCGAGGCTGATCTCACAGGAAGAAGGGCTGATGGCTTTGCAAATGCTAGGGCTGTGCCTCCACCTCCCTTGCAGTCATTCACAGCAAGGCCTGGCCTTCCCCCCAACTATGCTCAGGGCAGCCACTGTCAGCTCCACCGCCCCCACCCTCTGCACTCATGGAATTAAATGGGCAAGTGTCACTATGGAAATATGAAACAAATCATTTGGGGATTTGGGAAGGAGTGACAGGGAATAGGAGGCAGTGAGCTGTCTTCCACGAGCCTCTGGTCTAAATGACCTGTGCAGAACGAGGCTAGGGAAACTGAAGATCAAAGTGTGAAAGGATGAGCAAGCATCAGTAATCTGACACCAGATGCACATAATGAAGCATCCTGTTAATGACTGCAACTCAGGGAAGAAATCATATTTAGAACAAGAAACCCATTGCACAGGGAGATGAGAAATAACTTCCTGTCTTTCACCTAACTTCCAGTTAATGTTTAAAACACACACACACACACACACACACAGGGTAGGCAGCCTCTCTGATTTCCCTGAATGTCATCTTTTGGCTGATGGCAGAAGCCAACCACTATTTGCATACTGATGTTCCCATAATTACAGTTGGGTCCCTTAAGTATAGTCTCCAAGTTAATGATTTGTTTGCAATATAATATAGTAGGATTACCGACTTCTAAGCAAGGCAATGTGTCATTTGCTTTAGGCTACAGTATCACGTCATCTTATAAGCATCAAATAAACACAATTAAAAATGACAGGTCTTTAAAGTGTGCTGGAAGGGTGATGGGCATAGCTGATGTTCCTTGGCATACGAGGCTGACTTCTCTTAGGCATCTGCCCGAAGGCTGTCCCGAGCATTACTGAGCTCCAGAAAGCTCCCTATCAGCATTTGGGTTCACTGGTTCCTGTCATTCCAAGTTTTCATTCTCAAAGTTGTCTCAGTTACGACATTCCCTGGTCACATGCCTTAACACCAGATAGGAATGTTATCCCCATCCCCCCCACCCCGTGTTCTTATTTGTTCACACTTTCTGATGCTCAAAATCATTTTCCACCATGTTCACCCAATAGTTACAGAATATTGCCAGATCACCCATCTTCGTTTGTAGTTCCCTTCAGATCCCAAGTCAGAGGGAAGGTTCACTCCCTACAGATTCTTTACATGGAGGGAACAGCGATGCAAAGCAGTCGCCATTATGAGCCTTTTGCTAGCACAAAGATTCAAAACATCACCATCCCCAAGGATACACAGTCCCACCTTTTTACGTCAGACTCGGCCAAGGCAATGAGTCCCTTGAAAGTGTGCATTTGAAACCTGAAGTTTATTGAAAGCCATCCTTCCCCCAGGCAGTGACCATTCACCCCAGGGTGCGGGCAGAGGGGGTGGGGTGGCCCCTGGCATCCACTGATCACAGGAAAACCTTGCTGGATTTTTCAAGAATTTAAGTTAATCAATGACAGTCGATTTTGTCTTCTTTACTGCCCCCCCCGCCCCGCACCCACTCCTGGAGAGAAGGATGAGATTTCTTCACGGCGATTGTGTGTGGGAGGACGCAGGGGAAGCTCCCTTGAGACACTCTCTGTCCTCCTGGCCAACAGCTCTAGAAAAAGGAAAGTCTAGAAGGGTGAAGATGGCGATCTGGGCCTGCCGCCCTCCCCCCAACAGCCTGGTTCCAAAGAGAACTCCCCAGGAAGAGGGGGGACCCCAGAGAGCCAGGCGGCAGACAGAACAGGGCATGTGTGGTATGCAGCACATGGCCCCCAGTACTGGGGCCGCCAAGGAGGGGAGGGGCTTCTGCTGAGACAAAGGCCACATGCCTTAAGAAATATCCCCCCTAAGAGAGCCCATGGGTCCAGTGTCCTCGCAGATCCAGTGGAGTCCTTGCAGGAGGGTCGGTGGGTGGTGACCTCCGCTGGGGTCATGTTGGGGTTGTCCAGTCAGCACTCTTGGGAGCCTTGCATGTGTGCACGTCCAGGGCCTCCAGGCAGTCCTGGCAACGCACGGCACAGCACCAGTGGAACTTACACTCGCACTTGGTCATCCGGGTGACGCGGGAGGTGTCGTAGCCTCTCCCGCAGCACATGACTTCACAGCTGTCCATGCCTCTGGACGTCAGGTTGCACACACGACCTGCTGTACCCGGGGAGCCTGGAAGACAAGCCGGGGAGGTATCACTGAAAAGGTCTGGGGGTGGATACAAAACGCCTGGGGAGGAGCAGGTCATGAGGGCCATCCTCCAGCCCAGGGCTCTGCTTCTCCACTGCCTGCGACAGTGACACCCATCGGGGGGCACACGCTGTGTTCATCCTCTGTGCCAGCCGCAGCCAGCGGAGCAGAGCTGAGGGCCAAGGACCGCAAGGATGGACACAAAGCTTTGGGTGTGCCTTGGGCATCCTGAATCCAGCTCCCACTTCCGGGGTAGAAACTTTGCCCATTATCCTTGCCCAGCCTTGGCCGGATGGATCATCAAATGGATGAGGCCAGATCAGAAGGAAAGAAAGCTCTCGCCTGGTTCCTCTCTCCTGACCTCAAACCACAGTAAGAAAATAGTTACCGCTCTTGGAATTGGCGAGGGCGTGGAACCCTCCAAGGGAGGTAACTCCCTCTCCCCAGATTTGATTACATGGGCTTCCTAGAAAGAGAACAGACCGCTGGTGGCTGAAGGAGAGGTGTGGGCACCGCTTGTCTCAGACCCTGGGGAGGAAGGGTGCAGCGCAGCCGATGGAACCCACAGCAGTCTAGCAGGACACAGAGACTGTGAGGCTGCTGCTAATTCCCTACGGAACAGCATCCGTGGGTCAAATTGGTTAAGTGGCAGTCCACGTGGATGTACTCTGGGGAAGATTTTTTTTTTTTTTTTGACAGGCAGAGTGGACAGTGAGAGAGAGACAGAGAGAAAGGTCTTCCTTTTGCCGTTGGTTCACCCTGCAATGGCCGCCGCGGCCGGCGCACTGCGCTGATCCGATGGCAGGAGCCAGGTGCTTCTCCTGGTCTCCCATGGGGTGCAGGGCCCAAGTACTTGGGCCATCCTCCACTGCACTCCCTGGCCACAGCAGAGAGCTGGCCTAGAAGAGAGGCAACCGGGACAGAATTTGGCGCCCCGACCGGGACTAGAGCCCGGTGTGCCGGTGCCGCAAGGCGGAGGATTAGCCTAGTGAGCCGCGGCGCTGGCCATCTGGGGAAGATTTTCAAAGAGAGGAAGCACCAGAGCTTTTTCACAGGGACATGCTCGCACAACAGAACTAAGCGCAGTGGGTATTTTAAAGTGTTTGCTCAGCTTACAACGACCCTTTCCACTTCTTCCTGCTGCAGAGCTGGGTGCCTGGCAGCTGTGTTGCGACCCCACCACCCTGCTCACCAGTGCCTGGAGCAGGATGGGCACCTGATGCAGGCTGGCCTATCACGTGGGTTTCCCTGCAGAGATGTGGTTTTGACAGACAGACTGGTTATCTCTGTAGCACACTGAGTTCTGTGGACCCCCGAGGAGATCCACAGTGGGACAGGAATGAGCAGTCATTCAGAGAGAGCACGCTGTCCCAATCCTGCACTGCCCTCTGCATCTGCTTCCATTTCTCCTGGAGTCCGGGCCACAGTCCAACCTCAGCCGTACTAGAGACCCTGTGCATTTCTGCTTGGAGCTTAAACTGTTCCAGTTGCTATTACTTGCAGTCAACAAGCAAAGACAGTGACAGTTCATTTTCAGTCCCTCTACCATGGAATGAAGCCTGCCTCCCTCCTCATCAGCCCTCCAGCCCCTCGTGACTCTGTGTTTATCTCAGTCCGCTCTGTGCAGCTATCTGCAGAAATGTCATGTTGCCCTGCTGTCCAGAGTGACCAGGAAAGCAGCAAGGTTCAAGCAGGGCGTGGGGTCAAGAGAAGGAGAGGGTGGAGCAGGATCGTCTCTGTGTGCTCGGCTGCCGAGAGCCGGAAGACAGGCGGGGAATGTCACGAGGACAGGAAGGATGGCAAAGGGCTGGGGTCGGGGTGGAGGGGGGGTCAGCCAGGGATGGCCCCGAGCCTGCATCGTGCCGGAGAAGCGGCAGCAGCTGGGCCTGCACCCGGGACAGCCATCAGGACAGCGCTCAAAATCACTGATTGTGCAAAAAGGATGCACTGCCAAATGCTGCCTCTTAACAGCACACCCATTATTTCATTGAGTAAACATTTAGTGAACACAAACATGTGTAAGACACTGCGCTGGTTGCTTAGGGTTTTGGAGGAAGTGGTGGGGGAGCAGGGAAGGAGGTAAAATAACTGGGACCCAGTTCCTACTCTCAGGGACTCACAAGCAAGTCAAGAGAGAAATCCGGAAAGAGAGATGTCCCCTGCTTCAGGATAATTGTGCATTTGCTGAAGATTTTGAGCTTCAACTCTACTGAATAGATTCTTTAGAGTGTGGACAAATCAGGGTTCTAATCTTGGCTTTGCTGTGTACCAACTTGACTTTAACCTTGTCAGGTTCAGTTTCATCCAATGCAAAATAGGGACAGACAGCTCTTTCCTCACAGGGCTCATGGTGAGGGGGAAATGAGATGATGCATAAAGATACCTCACATAATAAGTGCTCAATAACCTTGACCCTCTATTCACTTGCCTAGCAAGTGCTTGCTGAGTACCTACTATGTGCCGAGCACAGTTCTTCGGGGAGCTTGGGATGTATGAGTGAACAAAGCAAAGATCCGGAGAAATGTTTGTCTTAAGAGGTAGGTGTGAGCCAAGTATAGTATAACAATGACATTTCTTCATATTCATAGCAGCAAACAGGATGAGAGAGAGCCAGCAGCTGCTCACTTCTATAGAGGAGGAGGTAATAGAGACAGGATGTGAAGGATGAGTGGATCTGCAGGGAAAGGCATCCCAGGCAAGAGCCAACCTGTTGGCAGATGTTCCAAGGGCAAGTTCACAAAAGATGCAGGTTCGCTGTGGCTGATGCACAGAGTGTGTATTGGGCAAACAGCATGCAAAAGGTTGGAGCGACAGGTTCAAGTGGCTTCAAGCCTTGTTACCATTTGGATTTTGTTGTTCTGTGGGTGGTGGGCCAGTCAAGATTTTAAATTGAGAGAAAACATGTTAAGTGATGAGTTTGGGAGGGAGGCGAGGCTCAAGGTTCCTGATATAGTCTGGGGCAGACACAGTAAGTGGAGATAGAAGAAGGACAAATGTCTGGTATGCTAAAGAGAGAATCACTAGATCCTGGTGATTCACTGAGTGGAGGAGCTGGGGTGCAGGCATCAAGTCAGAAAAGACTGCAACATGTTCATGGTCTCCACGGCAAGAAGGTGACCTTGGATGGGCACCAACGGACAGACACAATGCGCTGAAGAATGAATGGGAGGATGGGACCCGGGGACAGTGAGTGTAGGCAAAGGGCAGTGCAGCCGCAAAGGCCGACGAGGCTACTCACTGCCACGGAGACTTTTGGTGGCTTGTTAGGCAGCAACAGGTGCCTGGTCCAGGGCTTCCATCTCAGATTGGGTTTTCATTTTTACAGAGTACAAAAATGGGGACACCGAGCAAGGCTGCTGGGAGTCAGAGTGGCGACTTCTCTTGGAGGAAGAGAGAAGGAATGTGAGGGAGGGTTCTGGAATCCTGGGCCTCTTCAGCAGCTTGCCCTGGGCACAGGTTCTACGGTGCATTCATTTGAGAAAATTCATTGAGCTGGGCATGTGTGATGGGTGCACTTTCCTGTGGTGGAGGAGGAGGAGGGAGAGGAGGAGGAGGAGGAAGACATCACATGTGCAGTAGGTGAGGAGCAAGGCTAGAACGCAGGGCTCCACTGGGAACCGTAGCAGGAGAGGTGCTGGAGGGGGAGGGGAGGCTGCCTTGTGTGACAGGTTAAGGGGCAAAAACTTTCACCCAAGGGCAGTGGGATGCCACTGGGGGGCCTGACGCACAAGGCAGCGTGACTGGGTTTGGGCTCAGGAGGGTCACTGTGAGTGAGTGCCACGCCCAGTGGAGTGAACAGGGCTGGAGTGAGGCCAGGGGATGAGTTAGAGAGGCTTCAGGGGTTCCGAGCGGCACAGGAGGTGGCCTGGACGAAGAAGGCGGTGGTGAGAACCGGGGGGAGTCGTGGATGAGAGGTGAGGTGAGGGGCAGGTGACTGAGCAGATGGACGGTGAGAGGATGGGAGGTGTGGGGCTTGGCTGTTCCCTGAGGCGGGCAGCACGGGGGAGGGCTGGCTTGGAAGGCAGGTCATGAGTTGAGTTTTCAGCCTGTGGAGTTTGCACTGACTGCGGGCCATCCAGGTAGAGAGAGTCACTGGAAAATCTGTCCTGGGACTCTGCAGAGAGGTTGGGATCTGGGTCTTCTGCTCAGAGGTGGTAATGGTGCCAGGGCTGTGAATGAGACTCTTGGTGGATGTGAAGATGCACCCATGTGGTTCCAAAGAGGCCCCACTGAGGTTCCATATAAGCTCCTCACACCAACAGACATTCTCATTTCCGCTGATGTGCATTTGTTGACACGTGGATGCTTTCCTATTACCATGAATTAGAATTCCTCATGCCCTTGGGGCTGTGAGGTGTGGGGTGAGATGTGGGTGAAATGCCCCACTCCTGCATCAGGCTGGGGTTCTTATACCAATCTAACTTGGTGCTCTTCCCCACTGGGGGCCGAAGCCTGGTGGAATCTGAGCTGAGGGTCCAATTCAGCCTTGGGGAATGGCCATGGTGGTTTTTGTCCCCCAAACACAGAATACTGAACGAGACTCTGAACAGAAGGAGTGCTCATTGTGTTGATCTCAACGCCATCAGAGCTCAGAGAGGGAGGTGCAATGACCATTGACTAAAGCTTAACACAGACATGGTTTCAGATAAGGAAACAAAGACTGGGGCAAGGACTTGGCTCAGTGGGCCAGTCTTGGTATATGCTGGAAAACACGATCCATCTGAACATGCCTCTCTCCACTGGCCACCCAAACAGAGTGTGACAAGGGCCCCAAGATGAGAGAGGGTTTTTGAGAACTGAGAACCACCAAAGTGAGAGCAGTGGTGAAGTCACAGCCTGGAGCCACACCAAGCCTTTCTGAGGTCTGGGGAAGGGGCACCAGGGAATGGGCCACAGAGGGGGCAAGAGCAGCCCTGCTGGGAGCAGAGGCTAAGGCTGCCCGGCAATGGGCGATGAGCTGGTCTTGCTTTGGGGCCTGGGTC